TGACTCTCTGCCTCCACATAGCTGGTGAGCTACAGTTGGTCCAATAATGTACTCATGAGCCAAGGATGATAATAAATTCAGGTGTCTGAGCTTATTTTTTTCAAACTAGTATTTCATGTATGTTATAAAACATCCTTCATTCCTTTTTCCCTGTTCAACTGTCTATAATATTATAGCAAGTAAATATCTATCTGGCCACCACAGATGCTGTGCACACAGCAGAGGAAGGGCCCAGCGGCTGCTCTGCACAGTGAGGCCTAGGGGTCCCACAGCTCTGAGTGGTGTAGAGGAGGCCGGTCCTGGCATCTCCACTGCCTCGTACGGAGGAGGCAGTCCCAGTGGAGGAGGGTCACAGCAGAAGAGGGCAATTGTGGAGATCAGGCCAACCAGGGAGGGCAGTTGGGGGCAATCAGGCTGGGAGGGGAGGGAAGTTGGAGCAATCAGGCCAGCAGGGGAGTGGTTAGGGAACAATCAGGCTGGCAGGCAGAAGCCGTTAGGGGCAATCAGGAAGGCAGGCAGGTGAGCAGTTAGGAGCCAGTGGTCCTGGATTGTGAGAGGGATCAGGCCTAAACTGGTAGTCGGACATCTCCCGAGGGGTCCCAGATTGGAGAGGGTATGGGACGGGTTGAAGGACAACGCCCCCGCCCCCTCATGCACGAATATAATGCATCAAGCCTCTAGTCCTATATAATAAAGAGGGAATATGCTAATTGGCCATCACACCTTCACAAAGATGGCGGCTCCCACAGCCAATAAGGAGGGAATATGCTAATTGACTGCCATGCCCTCAAAAATGGAAGTACCTACAGCCACAAGATGGTGGTGCTGACTCCCTTTAGCCCCACCGGGTCGGTAGGTGCACAACACGGCTGGGCCTGCCCCCGGGTGGGTCTGGGCACTCTGCATGCCTGCCTCCGGAGTCTCCCAGTTCCCTCAGCTCCCCAACCACCCAGGGCCAGCTCCAGGCACAGGCAAGCCTCAGATTGCGGCTGCCCAGCCACCCAGGGCCGCCTAAGACTCAGTTAACCTGGGCCAACAAGGCTCATGCTGCCGGCAGTTGCAGCGGCGGAAGTGTGATGGGGGTGTCAACTTCCCCTGATTGCTGGGTCACCTCCCACCCCTAAGGGCTCCCGGTTGTGAGATAGGGCAGTCCAGGCTGAGGAACTCCCCTCCCTCTCCCCGGTGCATGAATGTTCATGCATTAGGCCTCCAGTTTTTAAAAAATCTGTTCATGTCACTCCCCTGATTAAGGACCATCAATTCTTTATGACTCCTGACCATGGTCTACTTTAATGAGCTTTTTCCTGCCACATTTCCAAACTTATGTCACTTTCTTCAATCCTATTACAATAGCCTTCTTTCAGTTCCTTGAATATGCTATTCTCAGGGCTTTTCCACAAGCTGTTTTCTCCACTTCTCTTCCTAGTTAGCTCCCACTCATCATTTAGATAACAGCTAAGACATCACATCTCAAAAAAGGAGTCCTATTCCCATCCCACAGTCTAACTCAGATTCCCTGGTAAATGCCTTCAGAGCCTCCATTCTTCATAGCACTTATAATTATAGCAACTTAGTGTATAATTTGACACCTCATATCTTTCTCCCAGGAGAATGTAAACTTTATTAAGATTGATACAGTCAAACCTCAGGTCTCAAATATCTCTCCCATCTTGAACAATTCAGTGCTCAACCAAGTTGGGGTGAGGGGGGGGGGGGGGAATGAGAGGGGCAGAAAGAACTGTTTCATGTCTGGGGCACATAAGTAAATAAAAAGTAGGAAAAGTTGCATTCTCAATTACCATTTCGGAGAATTACAATGCATATTTACAGATTTAAAAAACCCAACTATTTAATTTTAACACATTATTTTCCAAACTTGCTTACCTATGGAGGATCTTTCTACTGCACAAGTTATTGGCGTTTTGTTGGATGCCAGTGTTCGCAGAAACGCTGTGTGTTAGATACATACTGAGTTGACTGAACTTCTTCCCTTTTATCCCAAATAGTGTCTCTTGATACCATATTTTTATGACCCTGCCCCTCCCTAACCATCTGAGACTTGTGGTGTAGCCTCCAGGACCTGAGGACATCATTTTGGTAAGTCACCATAGGCTCTGCACAAGCAAAGAAGAGGAAATTGGTCTGCAGAGAGTTTGGAAAAGCCATGGGAAGAGAAATGATGGGCAGAGTTCCCATACTCAATGGGATCAGACAGAACAGGAGTGAGGTGAACTGAAGGGACATGCCCTGTTCGAAGAAATTGAAATTCAGAATTCTTTCAAATATAGTTTTCAACATGTGACCCAACACTCAGCATCACCTGGGGAACTGTTAAAAACGCAACTTCCAAAGACCCACCCTAAAACTTATTCATTGCAAACTCTGGGGTAGGGCTTATCAATCACTGTTTTAGGGAGCCTTCCAGGTAATTCTGATGCACATGCACACTTTAGACTGCTAGCCAAACTAAACATCTGAGGAGCAAATCTCCCCCACCGGCTGAAAACTGATGACCTCTGTTCCAAATGAAAGAGAAATAGCAGGCTTGACTTTTAATGACTTTCAAGACCCCAGTTCCATTCCCTCGTGATTCCTAATTACCCAAGTCCCGAAGCTATTCCTACAGTTTCAATAAATTCTCTCTTTTGCTTAAACAGTTGAGGTTTTATTTTTTTAATCTAAAGGTTAACCTACACCAATAAAATGATAACAAACCAACCTGCATTCAAGGTGGCCTAGTGCTGCCAGACTTATGACACCTTATATAAGTTATTTCTCTCTGTGCAACAATGCCATCTATCTACAAATAGTGGGATTGGACTAAGGATTTGAAGTGCCTTTGCGAATACTAGTATGCTAGACTAGACATTGCCTCCTCTGGATAATTTTTTGACTATACAGAACCCTTAAGAAAGATCCTTAATTTTCCTTTGTTTTCACCATTGACTCTATGTAATTAAAGTAACAAAAACAAAATAAAAAACACCCCATCTCTCTTTGGCTCTCTTTCCTGGTCTTTCAAAAGCATCTATTAATTAGAGGGATGCTTTAAGTAAGGTTTATTTGATGTTCTAATTCTTTTTCAATTTAAAAGTAAATTTCAGTATATTATAATTAGGCTACCTTTAATTATGGTTGCCATCTGTCATGAAATTTACATAGAAAAAAAAATCATGTACAGAAGACCAAAATATACTTGCAGAAGAGACATCTCTTTTTTTGGTAATTGTTTTCTTTACAAAAATGTGATTCAACCAAAGAATTAATACAAAATGAAGTGGCAAAGAATTTTAAAGATTTTAAACAAGTAAAAAGATTTCAAGGAAAATACCCTAAAATCAACAGTATCCTAAAATAAATAGTAAGAATATCATCTGGAAAGCCCATAAACCTTGCATTATATAACTTGTTAGTTGACAAAGAATAAAAACTGAAAACTAGTATTGTTTTGACTCTTAAATTCCCACATCAGCAGACTTTTCTCTGATGTTGAAATGAAAGTAGTGACCAAATGCTTTGATGGACAACTCATTACAATGAGAACTAAAGGCTTCTGAAACCAGACAAAGATTTTTCTGTATCTCCTGGATGCCAGGGAAAATAAGGGAAATATTTCAGTCCCTTGCCCAAGAATTAAACTTTATACATGCATTTTTTTTAAAAATGGGTACTTTAGAAATGATTGAGAGCAAGGTACAATTTTTAAAAAGCATAAAATGCTCTCAAGGCAAGGTAAAGAAAAAAATTTTTTGAGAGAAAATAAAAAGAAACAAGGGCGAAGAACTTTTTCAACAGAGTAGAAACTGTTAGTCTCTCTCTGTGTCCCTGAAAGGTTTTGATCCAACCCTATTTGTTATCCTAGAAAAGCTCTTCTGAAGAAAGGTTTCAGTGTAAGAACTGCTTGAAAGAAGCCAACCCTTTGGAAGTAGGAACGGCTTGGCCATTTATTAATGTCAAATATGCTGCCCGCATGAATTAGTCAGCTTGTCTTTTGCACGCCATACAGAAAAGTTCTCATGCACCTGCCTCTTAGTGTCCTGACACTTCTAGCTTGAATGACAGCTGCAATGACTACCAGAAAATACAATTTAAAAAAATACTGAACATTAACTACATTCTACCTCCTGAATAGCTGATTATCAATTTTTAAAGGCTTTTTACTGAAGTATCATCAGTGACCATAGCATATAAAAGCTTTCTTTGGTGTAAAATGAAGCAAACCAGAGTTATTTTCCTAAACGGGCAAAATGAAACCAAATTACCACAAAACTGACCTTAGGAACAAAGAGAAATGGAGCAGAAACAGGCCAGATTTCTTACTGGCAGTACCACAGTGGCAAATATCCCAGAACTAAGAAGAGCTGCCAAGTGGAAAAGAGAAAATTAAAGGACTTTCCAAAAACAGCCAAGCCCAGTGCACACAGCATTCCCCACAGCTGGAATGAGCTTCAGGAGCAACACACAGGTATAAGGTCCAGCCTTATTCTTTATTTACAGCACAGTTCAAAACCTGTAAATCAAGTACAAAAGAAACAGCTCTGATATCGAGGATTGGCACCAGACACCCTTCCTATCAGCCCCAATTACATCATTTTTATCTATTTTCTGCTGTTCCTTTTGGGAGGGCAGGGGTGTGGAATAATAAATGAGCCAGAGACTTGTCTCAAAAGCAAGAGAAATCCCTGCTTGCAGAGAAACAAAGGAACTGACTCTAACTCTTGTGAAAGGCAGTCAGGAACTCTGCTCCAATTATGAGGGCCACTGATGGTGAGGGAAAGCTGTCACACACAAAAAAATTTCTTCTGAAAGAGGGGCAAAGATGGCTAGAACCTGGGATGTGGGGTGGCTGCTGTCACCACCATCACCCTCTCTTCTATCTCAACTTTTGCCTCACCAAATCTAATGATAAAAAAGGGAAAGTGGTTATGTGTAGAAAACCAAAGTGAATGAAAATGTGGGTGGAAGGAACATAAAAGAAACTGAAAATGATCAAAAGTTGCTTAGTCCTTCTTCCTTACAGAAGCATAGAAATCTCTAATCCACTGCTTCATGTATTTAACTTCCAAGGAGCGGGCTAATAGCACAGTCATGGGGTCAAAAGCATTGTTGCCTCGGAGATCTAGATGATGGGCCCCCTCTGGAATAATGATGGCAACCAAGGTGTCTGTGATGTTCCTGGTTACTCCACCTCCTGACCAAGGATCTAGATCACCATTGCTATGTGAGAGAAAGAAGAAAAAATAAGATGGTTAGTTTTTCATACCTATATCCAGATAAGATAGAAGAAACCTACTTTATGCACAACAACTAAAATTTTAAGCTTATATATACACTAGAGGCCAGGTGCACAAAATTTATGCACAGGTGGAGGAGTGTCCCTCAGCCCAGCCTGCACCATCTCCAATCTGGGACCCCTCGAGGGATGTTAAACTGTCCATTTAGACCTGGTCCCGGTGGGCAGTTGGACATCCCTCTCACAATCCAGAATTGATGGCTCCCAACTGCTCGCCTGCCTGCCTTTCTGATTGTCCCTAACTGTTTCTGCCTGCCACCTGATCACCCCCTAACCACTCCCATGCCAGCCTGATTGATGTCTAACTGCTCCCTGCCAGCCTGTTTGCCTCCAACTTCCCTCCTCTACCGGCCTGGCCACCCCTAACGGTCCTCCCCTGCAGGGTTGATTGCCCCCAACTGCCCTCCCTTGCAGACCTGGTTCCTCTCAACTGCCCTCCCTTGCAGGCCTGGTGCCTCCAAACTGCCCTCTCCTGCTGGCCATCTTGTGGTGGCCATCTTGTGTCCACATGGGAACAGGATCTTTGACCACATGGGGGCAGCCATCTTGTGTATTAGAGTGATGGTCAATATGCATATTACTCTTTTATTAGATAGGATAGAGGCCTGGTGCATGGGTGGGGGCCAGCTGGTTTGCCCTGAAGGGTGTCCCGGATCAGGGTGAGGTTCCCTTGGGACATGGGATTGCCTGGGCGAGGGGCCTGTGGTGGTTTGCAGGCCGGCCATGCCCTCCGTCAACCCAAGCAGAGGCCCTGGTATCTGGAATTTATTTACCTTCTACAATTGAAACTTCGTAGCCTGGAGTGGAGCCAAGCCCCCTGCTCACTCCAGCTGTCACCATTTCTGTTTGGTTTTATGTATCTTTATAATTGAAACTTTGTAATCTGGAGTGGAGGCCTAGGCCATCCAGGGCAGGTGGAAAGCTTTGCTTTCTCTGATGCCGAGGTCAACCCTAGCCTGCTCTCTCCAGCTCCTGGCTGCAGCTATTTTTGGGGGGATTTATTTTCTATAATTGAAACTTTGTATCCTTGAGTGGAGGCCTAGGCTGGCCAGTGAGTTTGGAAAGCTTGGCTTCCTCTATTGCCAGGGAAACCCAAGCCTCTCAACTGTTCTCTGTGGCTGCAGCTATCTTGGTTGGGGTTAATTTGCATACCTGCTCTGATTGGTTGGTGGGTGTGGCTAGTGAGTGTGGCTTGAGGGGAGTGGTGGTTAATTTGCATATTACTCTTTTATTAGGTAGGATAAACTGGGGGATTGATCTGAAGACTGAATCTGTCCTATAGAAATGTGATTCATACTGGAATTCTACAATATTTCTGAATACAAGTACAAGAAATAGGACCAGCCCAGCAGGCATGGCTTAGTAATTGAGCATCAACCTACGAACCAGGAGATCATGGTTTGATTACCATGGTTCAAGGCATATGCCTAGGTTGCAGGCTCGATTCCCAGTAGGGGGTGTACAGGCAGTAGCCATCAATGATTCCAATGATTCTCTCTCATCATTGATGTTCCTATCTCTCTCTCCTCCTTTCCTCTCTAACATCAATAATATATATATAATTTTTTTAAAGAAAGAAATGTGACCAAAGAATGAAGGTGGTGCCCCATGAGTCAACCCAGATTGTACTGGAAAGTGGAATTTAAAAACCTAAATTTCAATCCCAGCTTCATCACTCAAAAGCCATATGACCTTTCTCCTCTATAAAAGAGAGGTAACAAGGATGACTTCATAAGGTTATTGTACAGCTTAAACAAGATGGTACTGTGGGTATATTTAATAAACACAAGAATCAGGCACATGGCAGTTCCTCAACTAACGCCACTTTCCTAGGAGCCAACTATGAAAGTAATAAATAAAAACTCTCATATTTGAAATGACAATTATCTTTTTAGCTCTTTAAAAGACATACCAACCCTTCATTTTTCATACACTGCTTTCTTTGTAGTACAGTACTTTGGGAAACAGGATGACTGAACTGAAAAATTTCCTCCAAATCTGAACCAGAAAATTTGGCCATTATTCAAACACTCCCATTTTACATTGACTTTAAAGTTACAGAAATGCTATTAAGTTATTAATCCTGGCTGGTTCACACAACACTTTTCACTGTAAAAAAAAAAAATCAATTCTTGAAGCAGACTATTTAGTTTAGCTTAGTAAAAATCCAATACAATCATAGACAGCATCCCTAATAATATTTCACTACTTTGTTGATATATATATTTCACCACAAAAGTTACCCATTTAATATGTAGAATTCAATGTTTTTTAGTATATTCAGAGTTTTGTAACCATTACCAAAATTTTGGAACATTTTCATCCTGAAAAGAAACCCATACTCATTGGTAGCTAGTAATCCCCATTCCCCTCCCCCAAACTCCTTCACTCAGTCACAGGCAATTACTTATCTACTCTTTGTATCTATGGACTTGCCTAATCTGAACATTTCATGTAAATGGGATTATATAATAGGTGGTCTTTTGTGATTGGCTTCTTTCACTGTGGCATAATGTTTTCAGGTTTCATCTATGTTGTAGTATGTATCAGTACATTATTCATTTTTATTGCCAAATAATATTCCATTGTATGAATATGCCACATTTTATGTATCCATTTATCAGATGTACATTTGTGTTGTTTCCACTTTTTTTCCTATTGTGCATATTGCTCCTATGAACATTCATGTACAAGTTTTTGCATGGATACATGTTTTCATTTCTCTTGGGTACAGACTTACCTAAGAATGGGATTGCTAATATATATGGTGACTTAACCTTGTGAAGAACTGCCTGTTTTCCAAAGTGGTTGAACCATTTTACATTTTGCGCTAGCAACATATGAGGGTTCCAACTTTTTTATACCCTTGCCAACACTTATTTTTTTGTTTTTTACTTACTTAAATTTAAGTATAGTTGGTATACAATATTATGTTAGTTATATAAATTTCAGGTGTACAATATAGCAATTCTATACCTTTCAAAGTGATCATCTCACTCTTTCTAGTAATCACCTATCACTGTGCAAACTTATCACAATAGTTTTATTGACTATATTTCCCTTCACCTTTTCACCTATCCCCTCATCCTCTATTTACAGTCATCCTATGTGGGTATGAAATGAATCTTATTTGTGGCTTTGATTTGCATTTCCCAATTTTTAAACTGAGTCATTTAAATCATTTGATTCATTTATTTTTATTTTTAATGTTTAAATAAATCTTTATTGTTCAGATTATTACAGGTGTTCCTCTTTTCCCCCCTTCCATAGCTTCCTTCCACCTAAACCCACCCCTGCCCCATGCCCTTACCCTCCATTACTGCCCTCATACATAGGTGTAAGATTTTTGTCCAATCTCTTCCCACACCCCTCACCCCCCTTCCCCCTAGAACTGTCAATCCACTCCCTTTCTATGTCTCTGATTCTATTATATTCACCAGTTTATTCTTTTCTTCAGATTTTTTATTCACTAGATTTTTAGATTCACTTGTTGATAGATATGTATTTGTTGTCACTTTATTGTTCACAATTTTTATCTTTACCTTTTCTTCTTTGTCTACTTAAAGAATACCCTTCAACATTTCATATAATCCTGTTTTGGTTCTGATGAACTCCTTTAGCTTTATCTTATCTGTGAAAATCTTTATCTGACCTTCAATTCTGAATGATAGCTTTGCTGGGTAGAGTAATCTCGGTTGTAGGTTCTTGCTATTCATCACTTTGAATATTTCTTGCTACTCCCTTCTGGCCTGCATAGTTTCTGTTGAGAAATCAGTTGACAGTCATATGGGTACTCCCTTGTAGGTAACTGTTTTTCTCTTGCTGCTTTCAAGATTCTCTCTTTGTCTTCTGCCCTTGGCATTTTAGTTATGATGTGTTTTGGTGTGGTCCTCTTTGGATTCCTCTTGTTTGGGGTACTCTGCGCTTCCTGAACTTACAGGTCTATTTCTTTCATCCAGTAAGGAAAGTTTTCTATCATTTCTTCTAATAGGTTTTCAATATTTTGCTCTCTCTCTTCTTCTGGCACCTTCATAATTCAGATGTTGGTACGCCTGAAGTTGTCCCAGAGACTCCTTACACTATCTTCATATTTTTTTTATTCTTTTTTCTTTTTGTTTTTCTGGTTGGGTGATTTTTGTTTCCTCATATTTCAAATCTTTGGTTTGATTCTTAGGGTCCTCTAGTCTACTTTTAAATTTGTATATTATTCTTTATTTCAGAAATTGTATGCTTAATTTCTGAGTGGTCCTTTTCTTTTTCTTTTTTTTTTTTCTTTCTTTTTTTTGGCATTCTCATTAAGATCCTTGAAGGTCTCACTAAATTTCTCGGAGGTTTCTAGAAGATTCTTGAGTAACCTTATAAATGTGGTTTTGAACTCTATATCCAGCCATTTGCTTTCCTCCATTTCTTTCATTTCGTGACTTGTTTCTTTGTCTCCTCAATTTGGCTGCTTCCCTGTATTGATAGAGTTGCTTTGTGTGCTAGGAGACCTATAGGGACCAGTGGCTCAGTCTCTCCAATCACCTGAGGTGGACAATCTTGGTGCACCCCTTTGTGGGCTGGGTGCACAGTATTGTTATAGTTAAGCCTTGATTGCTGTTGGTATACTGAAAGGAATTGATTTCCAGGCCAATTGGCTGTGAGGACCTGCTGTGTCTATCATGGAAGAATTACTGTACTGGAAACACCCTTCTGGGGCAGGGCTTGCTTCAGTGGGGCTTTGGTGCTCTCTAAGTCTGCCCCTTGAGTGTGTCACTTATGAATGTGAGGAGTTGAAATCTGGTATCGTTTCACACTGACCACTAGGTACACTAGCTCCTGGATCTCCCAGGAAGTGCAAGTTAGCTACTGCCTGAGGCAACCCAGCAGGAGCTACAGGGAGATCTACAGATTTCTCCTCTTTGTTTGGGACTTGGAAGTTTTG